ATCGAAATGGAAGATAAAGCGGAACGCGAGTAAACTCGCGCTTCCGGCTCCAAGGTTTTTATTTGACGGGAAATCCAACCTTTTCCAAAAACCCTCGAGCTTCCCCGTAACAAGAGTACATTAAACAGCGGGAACTTGTTTCGAAGCACTCTTCGGTTTACGCTCGTATGATTTTCTCGCGTCGTTACGACGAGAGTGGTCTTCGTGTTCTTTCCTTTTTCCGATAGCTCGCCGCGGGGCGTCGCTAGAATTACGAATCCGACAAACGCGGTTGGAAACGCGTGGAACGCTTTATTCGCGGAACGGGGTAAGGTGATCGTAGCGACTTGGTCTTTTATTTGCGAGTCACTTTCGTTATTAGCGAAGAGATCTCTGTGGAGAATGTTAAGAGTGGGGTATTGATGGATTGCAAGTTGATTGGTGTATTTTGTGGACTGCACTGATCTTTGGAAGTATTTAACCCTTTGTACTTGTATGGCTGAAGATGACAATACAAGTTTGTTATAAAACTCGTATGTCATATTAGAGCTGACAATACTAATTTCCTCTAAAACAGGTACATACGTCCGTTGGAAAGTGTTTTAAAAGGTATCACGCTTTAAAAGATCATAAAAATTAAATCTTAGTCTAATCATAATAAATAATATAAATGTAAAACGTTAAATTCTACCGTTGTAAATTATTTTAATTAATTTTCCTAAAACTAAATACAAGTTTACAGTCAAGAACATTGAAAGTAAATCAAATGCAAAGGGTTAATACGTTGAATACAGCGTGTGCCATTTTTTGTACATGCCAATTTTTGTGAACAAATATTTAATGAGATATGTGGGCACGAATAGTGATATACGTTACAAACAAGTGGATATATAAAGAAATTATATCTAGAAATATTAAATATTTTAAAAAATCAATACAGGTTGTAAGCCAAATGTAACTGAAATTTTCGAGGTACGGAACCTGTTAACACTAAAACTATCGGGCTTAAATTGACCCACTTCTGAATCTGTATTTTATGTTTGCTAAAGATTTTTAATTAAATTTGTGTATTCGTACATATACAAAACTACGAGAACATTCGAATCTTAAGAAATCTATTGTTCTAATTTTTATGAAAAACTGGAAATAGGACACTATAATTTCTCGGTAGTTTTAGTGTTAAAATGTGGAAGAAGTCATTGAACTAATGAAATCATTCTACTTTAGATGTATATTGTTCAATTTCAATGTTTGTAGTATAGACTGAGGCGAAGAAATAATAATCGGTATTTAATATATCATAAATTATATTTCTCATTTTTCGTATAGTATCGCACTTGTCATTATATGCCAAAGAGAAAAGAGAGAAAAATTTATATCATGATTGAGTATTATAAACATTACAATATGTACCATTTTACAAATAATTCTTATTTGACTTTGTATTGGTAATTAAATTTAGTTGTTTTATTTGAAGTGAAGCAAGAAATCGTCTTTTTTAGAAGATTGTTCAATTTAAGTTTGGAATCAACGTTTATTTCACACTTTATATTAAAAACATGAATAAAAATAATGATTTCCTTGCAATAGATAAAAAGGCGACGTTAAAATATTTGTATTAAAAGTTATAAACAAATGGCAAAGTAAAATTCCTCCAAAATGCATGAACAGATTCATCGCTACCAAACGCAGATAAACAATGCTGTAATCAAGCTGATACCTCAAGCCACCAATATGGTCAGCAAAACCCCATAAACTAGGTTTCTTGGACAGTTGCACATCACGTGTAATCAAACACTAACCATAGGGCATCATTAATAGACAGCCGATGGTCAGGAATTCCAGAAACAATACACGATGATAACTGTATTGGAGAGTTTGCTTGTCACCTGCTCACTGTAACACACTTTCAGTATCACTAATTGTAACCGCAATCACCGATAGGAACACCTATTTGATCGGCAAGCAAAACACTTGTAATCCATTAGAGAGAACACACATGAAATAGAATAAGAATATACGTATTATATTTTCTTTTCGAAACATATTTGACTGTACCTAAACAGATTATCATCTCGTACTGGTATAATTATAAAAAGATTTTACATCAATTTTAATCCCTTGCTTAATTAACCTTGGTTACTTCGGGTGAAATGAATTACGTAAAGCAAAAGATTCAGACTTAGTTATAAAGGTATAATAATTGAGATACGTGTGTACATGTAATAATTTCCTAATAAATATTATTAATAACTAATAAATTATTAATAACTACTTAGAGTATTTCTTTGTCTATGGGAATAAATTATAAAGCAAACATGAAAAACTGGCATTTTCTGAAGCAACATCTCAGAAAACAGAATCGTGTAAGGGTTTTATATTGGGTCATTCCGTAGATAACGTAATTTTTGTATACCTCTTCTATTTTAAAAAATTAAGATAAACAGAACTTTAAATCTAATTGTAATATATAGATAAACAATCTATAGATAATTAAGGAGAATAAATTTTAGATAAAGAATGGTTTCATTTATAGTTCTTTTAAGAATAAAAAATGTATACAAAAATCGTATTATTTATGGGATGACCTGATATCACATATATGAAAGAAATATCGAATACTGAACTTCGAGAATTACTAAGAAATATGTCTTCGAGAATATAAATTACCAAACCCTTAGCGAAGCAAAATTTTTTCCACTCTTAAACTCTCTCCATAAGAAATTGAATTATGCATCGAAATTTTAAGTAGTAGACAAGAAGAAAACCACGTATCAGTCTCTCATTATTTGAATAAATCAATTATTCATATGCATCTTTCGATATTAGATTCAAAGCTCGAAGTCTCTATCCGACCGTAAAGTCGATGATATGTTTCATTATAAATATTCATTATTTTCTGATGAAATATCGGTGATATCTTTTTAATATAAAAAGATAATCGTCCGTAAATACAGATACATTACTATTTTATTTCAATGTTCCGCGTGTTGACACATCATACAAAATTTAACATTGAATTTCAAATTTTATAATATTGCTGCATTTATGCAAATGGCAACTGAAAGTCGCCTCTCTAGTGGAAAAGATTAATAATCCGTGAAATAACATTTATATAAGCGGTTTCTGTACAGTATGCATAATAGAGGTTAATAAGTATACCTTTTCAAATGCTGCATAACCAATCACTTTACTGAAACCCCTTCAGGAGTTAGATAGCACGCATGAGAAACTGAGGAAGGCAACCAAAATTGGTCAGTCGGATGAAACCCATTCTACTACGCGATAATGTTCGCCCACCCGTTTCTCAAATGACTGTGCAGAAGATAAACCAATTAACACTAGATATACCAACCGGTCAAAAGGACCGGTTCAAACATTTACTCATAAAACTTTTATTTTTAAATTAAATTTAAAAGTTCTCTGTAAAATTATGAAGATTATTATTTGTATGTATCCGACAATTATAGTAAAAGATTCCATTTATCGACTTCGTTTTTTTCTGAGACACGTATCTGGTGCGCCTATGTACGTATAACAACTGGTCATTTTGACCGGTTTGTATTTTTAGTGCTAATTTTTATAATTTTACAGGCTACTAGGAATATTTTCAAATAATTTTACAGAGTACTAATACAGCTTTGCACACTCTCCAATATCTTTCTGATTAAGTTCCTATTCTTATCATTTACGTCGTTTTGAGTGTCAGGATTTTACTTTGCATTTTTGGATATTCTCCTGTTTTCTGTATACATAGGAATGAAGCGAAAGGTTTTTCTGCTTTCATATCATTTTCGTGCGTGTTTTTATGGGCTGGCTGGCCAATGTTGTGTGGCTTCTGTGTTAAAAACTATAAATTGTTAATATAAATACACATGAGAATAGTGTTTGCTATGTTTACATTTCACACCCAATAAGTTTTATAAATAACATAGCAACATAATCGATAAGTAATTCATTAGAAACAACTTTTGTTTTATTTATTCATTGTTAAGCTGCACAAATATGTTATTAAATTGCGTTTCTTATATAAAATGAATATGTTAATGTATAATATAGAAGTTGTTTTCTAACGCTACAAAATCTATATTAGAAATAACCATAAAAATAGTTCATTTATGGTTCGAAGAATTTTTTAATAAAGGCATAAATAATGTTGAAACTTGATGCAAGAAATATTTTAATTGTGATAGACATTACCTTGATAGTTATATGTAAATTACGTCAAAATTATAACACATCCAATTCAAGAATATTCGACTTACTGTTTGTTAATTAACAAAATGATAGATGTTCTTGTAACATTTACTTCACAATACGACCAAGCAACCTTTAATGCCTTATCTTATTAAATGTTTCATTCCGAAGGTTACATTTACACTGCATTTTAAATTTGCGTCTTCAGTTATGTCTTTAAATATAACCGTGCAGAATAAAGATAATGAAGAAAAAGTAAACGAAAGAAGAAAAATGTTTCCTTTAACATTTTAAGTCAAGGAAGTTCCTTCTGATTTCCCTCGAAGAAATAGTAAGCACAGAACTTCATCGCATTAAAAGTTATTAAAATAATCGAACAAGCAACGAAGTAGATACCAAATGTAGAAGTACTATTTCAGTCTAAAAGTGAAATTTTATGAAACAAAACAAATAAGAATTACTGTTAAATATCAACGTTGATAAGTTACCTCGTAATGTTGTTAAATGGAAGGATATGTATTTTTCCATAAAGGACAACGTATAACTGAATATTTTTTAATCAAAATTCGTCTTATGAGCAATAAATTTGTTAAAGTGTTTAACAAAACACGTCAATCTGACGAATATTAAATTTTATAAACATTATTATTTAGTAAATCTTTATGTTGATTTTGATTGATGCAATAACACAAATGTGTATTTTAATTGTCTATCTTTAAACCTTTAACTTCCAAAATCTAGATGAACGAACATCAATTTTTATTGTACAATAAATATCTGTAATAATAATTCGAATAAATTGTACAATAAATGTCGGTAAACCTAGTGTTAAATGGGAATTAGAAAAATATGACGAAACTAAATAAATGAAAAATTAATCGAGGATATTAGCATTAAAATTATCAATGCTAAATAATGATAAAAGCATGAAAATTTCGCATTAAAGTTTGAACATATTGGAAACGGAGTTAATTACATTCACCCGTGAACTACTCGTATGAGATTTCAACTCTAAAACCACGTTGGAAAGACTTTATGGTGAAATGTTATAATGTACAGGATCAACATTATAATCTAAGTTGTGATTATAGAGTGCAGAATGCAGCTGATAACTAGCTGGCGGGTGTTCGCTCAAATACTGAGAATTACGGGGCAATTTACAGAAACTAGGATCCAGCAGAAATTCGTTTACACCATTCAGGTCTTCATCAGGGCTTCAAACGATATGAAATCCTATTAGACTTTATCAAACTTTCAACTACATCGAATCGCAGGAAGTTTTATGTTATACAGAGGTACAAAGTCTGTAATCTGCGACGATTAAACTGTAAATGTTCAAAAAGTAAATTTTATCTGCTCTATAAGCTTTTTTATTAGGTGCAATATAAATTAATAAAATTCGTCAAATTTTAGAAAAGTTATGTGCTTTTACAGTTTAAGTCGAGCACTTTCATATGTTATAAATTCTTACCAATTAGGAATCTAATAATAATAAATTTAAATAACTGGCTAAATCTTTTATCAGAATAAAGGACAACACAAAATTAAGCGAAATTTTAATAAAAAGTGACTAAAGGTAAAAGTAAAGAAACAATTACAATGAGAATTTAGGTATTGATACTGATATATAAAACAACCCAAGAAAAATATTAATTATCTATTAACTAAATAATAAGGTTGTTGAGCCGTCACGGCTTAATAGAGTCGACACATGCAGAGACTTAAGCTCTTTACAGCACGGGGCAAAAAACGGCTCTTATTGTTTAGTATTTTAACGGCACATCGCGGTAATATTCATTGGCCTTTTCAAATCAAATTCCAAAACTTTCCTTTCATCCGCATGTGGCAGCCAGCGACGGGTTGTAAATGCATATTTCTGAAGGGCGACCAAATGGTATCCTAAGGACACTCGGTTCCTGGGGTTTGCCTGGAAGAAATTTGTATCCAAGCTAAAAACATAGTCTCTGCATGTCTTAGGTAGCACCCCGCCCTCGTTAGACTAGGCGCGCCAAGGGCGCAGCGACGGTGGAGACAATTCGTTTCGAAAGCCCCTGATTGGGACTTGTCAATTTTGGCGATAACCAATTAGGGTGTTTTCTTAAATTTCGGAGCTGACGATCTGACTCGCAGATCGCCAGCGAGACAGACAACTCAAAATTTTCGAACGATACACATCATACAAGCGCGTCTTAGTGTTCAGACATAATTGTACACACAAAAAATACAGTCCACTAACGAAGAAGCAAGCGGTCTCATTTAATCAGCTCCAAGTAAGGACGCTGCTATGAACTCCCAACAAAGGTTATACTGTATTAAAAATTATTCCAAATCATTAAAATAATATATTGACATCGACATGTTCTCTGTCAAATCCATAAAAATTCCACAAAACAAAATTCGTTTAATAAACTAAACACTAAATTGTCAACTTTTATTATAATAATTACTCTTCGAAAATTCCTATAATATAAAGATCTTGAAAGTACCTAATTTACAGAATAAATTCCCACAAAAATATAATTCATACATTACGTCATTCAGACTAATGAATGCAGTAATTACAATTACAAAAATCTATAAGAAATTTAAAGAAGGGGCACGAACAATGACTAAATGTCCTACTTCGAACAACGGAAGACTGCAAGAAAAATTACCCGCTGCTACTATCGAGGTACCAGACAGACTTCCCAACTTTCAAGCTGAACAAGAAAAAGAAATTGTAATTCTCTGCTAGCCGAAGTTCTCTCGCGAGAGTTCCTTGATTAGAAGAGCGAAATTTCAAAGTACTCCGCGTAGTGTGTACCCGGCGGCCGAAACCGTAGGCGCAACACTGAATGCAGTTCAGCGAGTGCAGCCGGAACGGCAAACAATCGCCACCAAGTCAAATAAGTGATTAAGCCCGACAAATATTACACCGGTGTAATATTTGGACATTGCGCGCGCGCGCGTGGCACAGGTGCGCCGCATCAAAGTTACTGTGATCAGCGTTAAAGGGTCGTCCGTCAGCCTGCGCAGCATGGCGTTATCTTTCAGACAAAAATAAAAAATCGACCTCTCGATAATGGTAATATAATAGTTTATTAACGTGTAGCAAGGTTATAGAGTGCCTGTAATGTAATAATAAATACGGTCAAACACCATTTACCGCCACGTCAATTAACATGTTGACTGTCAGAGATCAATATCAGCTATAGAGTATCGTAGCAATTGCAAATGGTATGAGAATTAATTAGCAATGATTCAGTACCATAGCTCTTAACCCTTAGGGGCACGCAATTTTAACACGTTAAACGCCGCACGATTTCATAAAGCAAAATACATAAAATGGAAAAATATAATATTAAATAATTTGATTAAATTGCATTATTATCATTGCACATTCATCTAGCTGAATATAAGTACATAAGATAGCATTATTTATAATATAGAAATGTTTTTAAATGATCATCGTTTAATCGAATGAACTACAGTAATTCGGTTTGGTTGGAATAGTGAGCGCATACAACGTGTTAAAGAAACAAAAAACTCGACCTGCACAAAATTTCTTAAGAGTATAAATAACTTCAATTAAGTTTGGTGAGTTGAAAAATATTCCACCATGCATTAACTGTCAAAAAGAAAGTGCGGCAATTTTAAACCCACCTAACCTCAAAGTGTTCAGTTACATTATTATTTAGCTACCTACATAACTAAATATTTTGATACTTCAATTTTTTTGTTGTAATTGCTTTCAAGTAATTTGGATTGCTCAGTAACCACCGTGGCAGCAACGTATTAACTCTGATCCGATAGATACAGTTAGGAGGTGATTTGATGCTCCGCAGAACTGCACAAGAGCGGTTTTGAAGCATCAAGCATAAATGCTATCGTAAATTTGAGAATGCCACTCACTTGTCTTAACCAGTTAGCTGTTTTTGATGAGTATACTCGCCATGAAGAAATGGTAAAGTTTCGTATTACGACGAGTATACTCAATTATTTGTAGATATGTACACGTACACAT